TTTTTTTTTCCTCCTCCTTCTTGAGCAAATGTAAAAGTGCAAAAAGAAATTTCTCTGAAGTTAGCAATCATCTCTGTCTCTCTTTGGCTGGACTCATGTGCAGAGCTGAATCTGCAGTCCCAAATTAAGTTCTTTAACCCTTTTTTCCATTGACCACCTGAGATTTTAGGGGAAAGCCCTAGTAAAAAGGAGATGGTACAATTCCTCATCCTTTTTTTTTTAAATTATAACAGTCTACATTGTATTTATTTCATATTGCAATTGATTGCACTATATCATGTACTTCTAGTCAGAGACTAAAAAGATTTTTTTTAGAGACCCCCTTTTACCCCTTTCCTTGAGTATCCTTTAACTCCTGCCAGTAAAACTGCAAGCACAAAAAAGTCCCATCCTTTCCCAACTTCCTCTTTAGGCTTCACATTTTTGAGTTTGAGAGCAATTTTGGTTTTTCTCCATTTCAGCATTTCCTGTGGGTGCTTCATCAGCTTTTTGCCTGCACAGGAGTTTCTGATTTTGCCATATCTTTAAATCATAAAATAGAAGCCCAGGTCAGATGGATTCAATCCCAGAAGGATCTGGTGGGTGGCATCCCTGCCCATGGCACAGAGGTTGGAACTGGATGGTCCTGAAGGTCCTTTCCAACCCAAACCATTCCAGGAGTCTATGATTATATGGCTCAGTCTCATGCAAGGAAAATTAAATATGTAGAGGGGGAAGAACAACAAAAAAACAAACAAAACCCAAAAGGTACGAAAAAAGGACTTGATAAACTTAAATATAATCCTATGTATTTCTTAGTGAGAATGCAATTTTGGTAAAGAATTAATTTTTAAGAAGGAAAAAAACGGATTAATTGTTTTGTCTTTATCTTTCCACCTCTCCATACCCTGCACTGCACGTTGCCCAGTGGATTACCATGGAAAACTCCAGCAGCGTGAAGGAATTCATCCTCCTGGGCCTCTCAGAGGACCAAGGGGTGCAGAAAATATATTTTGCAGTGTTCCTGCTTTTCTACACGCTCACRGTGGCAGGAAACCTCCTCATAGTTCTCACTGTGACAAGCAGCCGGCACCTGAAGTCACCCATGTACTTCTTCCTCTGCCACCTGTCCTTCGTAGATATTTGCTACTCCTCCATCACAGCTCCCAAAATGATCTCCGGCTTCCTGGTGGAAAACAACACCATTTCCTTTGCAGGCTGCATAGGGCAGCTCTTTGGGTTTCATTTTTTTGGCTGCACAGAGATTTTCATCCTGACAGCCRTGGCCTAYGACCGYTACGTGGCCATCTGCCRGCCCCTGCRCTACCCCGCRCTCATGTCCCGCCGCCTCTGCGGCCGCATGGTGGGTGGCTCCTGGGTGGGGGCCTTCCTGCATTCCACATTCCAGACCCTCCCCACMGCCCTGCTCCCCTTCTGTGGCCCCAACAAAGTCGCCCACTACTACTGTGACGTGCACCCGCTGCTCCACCTGGCCTGCGCCGACACGCGCGTCGTGAGCCTGGCCACGGTGGCCAACGGCGGGGTGGTATCCCTGGGCTGCTTCCTCATCCTGGTCACGTCCTACGTGGTCATCCTGGTGTCCCTGAGGGGCCAGAAGCCAGCAGGGTGGCACAAGGCCCTGTCCACGTGCGGGTCCCACATCACCGTGGTGGTTCTGTTCTTCGGGCCCTGCACGTTTGTGTCCGTCCGTCCATCCGGTGACCTGGCCGCGGACAGGAGCGTGGCCGTGTTCTACACGCTCATCGCACCCATGCTCAACCCGCTCATCTACACCCTCCGCAACAGGGAGGTGAAGGGAGCCGTGAGGAAACTGTGCAGCAGGAAAGTGGGAAGTGGAAATGGGAAGGTGTAAGGCTGCAGCCATGTTCCCAAAGTATCAGAGGAAATCAATCATCTTTGACTACAATGTCCCAAGATGTGCCTTTCAAAAGACAGCTGGCTGTTGGCTCCTGCTGTAACTAGGAAGGCACTAAACGTTCATTTTCTGATGGGAAAGACATTGGGAACTCTGGTATTCTCTTTCTATTCCTTGTCAACCAGCACAGGTCCAGACCAGAAGCTCCTCAGGAACTGCAATACCAGTGTTTAAATAAAGACTTTTTAAAATACTGCAAATGTTGTCCAGGTAGAGCATGCCATAAGAAAAATCTCCACAAAAGTAAAACTGGTATTAACTAGTTGGGTGGTTTGCTGATGCAGGAACAGGAGTATCAACTTTTCCCCTTCTCCCTTTCCTCACCACAACAAATCCTTTTTGTCTGTTCCAGGCCAGGTTGGCCAGGACTTGGAGCARCCTGGGACYGTGGAAGGCATCCCCRCACATGGCAAGGGGTGGAATGACATGGTCCTTAAGGTCCCTTTCAACCCAAACAGTTATTCTGCAATTCCATAATTATGCTATAATCCTATCTACTTCTCCTATCTCTGCCCAACAGAGCACTATATAAAATAAATGTATTTTTAAATGCTTTGGAGGTGAACCTCACTGGGTTTTTTTTGGAGGTCTCACTTCTGGGTGCTGCTGAGCAAATACAGCTTACAGCAGGTGTCACTGGAAACAGTGTTGGGCTTCTCTACACTTCGCCAAAAATTCTTACAAGAATTTCATACCTAAGCTCAAAAATTGCTTCTGTGCTTTGCGTTGTGCAGTAAAAATACCTGGTGAGCAAGAAAGGCTCCCCACAAACCATTTTATTTTTTTAAGTGAGTTCCGATGTTACTTYTTGTTTTAAAATTTGTCAGTCAGGTATCTAAGGGATAACATCTGTGATACATTGCTCTGTGCTGTCAAGGTACAATGGTAAGAGCCAGTTAAAAAGAAAGAACACTGCAGATGAAAAATATTAGGACAGAAAGCAGAATTTATATCCATTTGTATAAATTTATATAAATCTCCTATGTAAGAGACGTCTTTATTCTGGTGTCTCTCTCCAYGGACTGCACTAATAACTACCCAGAGAACAATTTCAGCTATTTGCTCTGTGATGATTTCTGACAAAACTTCCTTTGCCTCTGGGATCTCATTACTCCTGATAGTCTTACRCTTCTCCTTTGTGATTTACTTGAACTATTTCTGCTACAGAAATAATTGTATTTGTAGATGCTCCTGGAGCTTGGGTGGTTTTTTTTCCAAATGAGAAATAGAGAAGGTTGGGCTGTTCTTTTCAGGGCTCAGAGCTGGCAGAGATACAGAGCTGCTTTCACAACTTCTGGGCAACMACTTGCAGTGGAGAAGTTCTGACGGAACCCCCTGAAGTGGAGCAACAGCAAATGAACTCTCTGTGGAAGTGCTCTGGGATTGTCCCTTTGTTTTGCTCAGGCACCACTGAAATCCTGCCTTTGCAAAGCAGCATTGCTGGTGAGTGACTTTTGTGAGGACGGATTTAAGATTTAGGGAAAAAAAAATTACTGAATCAGTTACGGATTTAGAATCCCAGAATGGTTTGGGTTGGAAAGGGATCTTAAAGCTCATCTTGTTCTGACCGCCCCTGCTATGGGCAGGGACACCTTCTATAGACCTCCAGGCTGCTCCAAGCCCCATCCAGCTTGGTCTTGAGCACTTTCAGGGATGGCATGCACTAGTGATCCTTGTGTTCTTCATGGGAATGCTGCAAATGTGGGTTTATGGGTGTTTGTCAGTAAAGGAGCATCACCAACAGCTCATTCGTTACTCCAGTGTCACTACAGGTGTATTTATGGGGTTTTCCACATCACATACAGGAGCTGGGTACCATCCAGCTTCTACCACCCTCCTCAGCTAAATAATCAGAGCTTGTAATTACACACATCAGTGACACATTCTGACCTGGATATCATTGTTATTCCTTGAGGGAAGCATTGACTTTGAACTGAAACTGTACCAACATGACAGCAGAACAAATACACTGAATATTCAACACACAAGAGGTCAGTGTGTGTGTCTGATAATGTCCCCTGTCTAATGATTTGGCCATTTGGATCCTTTGGATCCTAAAGCAGCTTTATTTAGTGYTGTTGGCATCACAGACATCTGCTTTCTTACTTAAAACCTCTTGTTTGCTGAGTTATAAACTCCTCGGCAGAAATGAGCAGGGAAGGAATTTCCTGGTAGGACTGTAAATGGAAATGTGCATTCCTCTGCTGGTCCTACTTTAACCTCCTTTAACCTTAATACGCAAAATGAGTGTATTTGTCTACCGAAAAACTTTTAAAATTCCTTTAGAAAATAAAGATGTAGAAAAACAGTGCAGGGGTTTTGCAGCTTCTGCTGGGTTAGAAACCCCGATTTCTCCAGTGAGGAACCTCCCAGACCTGGTTTTGGTGCATGTATTCCCAGCTGAAGAGTGGATGAGCTAACTGGAGAGCCCTTCCCTCAATTTACAGGCGTGCTGTTAGGATTAGGACATGGAGTAGCTCATGCTTGAGCACTGCAGCATTCGCTTCCTTCACGGCACTCAAATTTCCAGCAGAGAAAAGGACAGCACAGCATTTTTCCAACATTCATGGCTSTCRTTGTSTGAGAGCAGGATRTGCTGGAATCACCATTCMTGGAGGCATTTCAAAGTCRTATGGATGTRGCACTTGGGRATGGTTCAGTGGAGGGCTTGGCAGTGCTGGGGGGATGATTKGACTCRATGGTCTTACAGGGCTTTTCCAGCCTTAACAATTCCATGRYTGTGTGATTSCTCCCCCACAGAACGGGAGCACACCAACAACAATGAAGGAAAATAGCATCCAGAATGGGTTCAGGAGTGAGTTCAGTGTGGAGGGGGCGAATAGGGAAGAGAAAAGGGGGGGTGAGTATTCATTGCAAACTCTGCTCTCCGCTTTCTGCAGCAGCAAATGCATCTTGCTCCCACCATCCATGAGCCTTGGAGCTGTAGCACATTCCCTTTCCTTCCTGGCCAGCCCCACACCGGTGACACAGGAGTCTGAGCTGCAGTGATGGCACGGGACAACATCTCCCAGGTGACTGAATTCATCCTCCTGGGCCTCTCCGACACCAGAGAGCTGCAACTCCTCTTCTTCACCCTCTTCTTCCTGGCCTATGCCATGGTCCTGCTGGGGAACCTCCTCATCATCGTGACCGTCAGGACGGACCCYAAGCTCTCCTCACCCATGTACTTCTTCCTCTGCAATCTGTCCTTCATCGACATCTGCTACACTTCTGTCACCACCCCCAGGGTGCTGGCGGCCCTGCTCTCAGGGCGCAAAGCCATTGCCTTTGAGGGCTGCATGGCCCAGCTGTTTTTCCTGCACTTTGTGGGCTCCTCTGAGATGTTCCTTCTGACGGTGATGGCGTTCGACCGCTACACAGCCATCTGCAGGCCCCTGCACTACACGGCCATCATGGCCCGCGGGGCCTGCTGGGCCCTGGTCACCGCCTGCTGGGCCGGGGGCTTTATCCACTCCATTGTCCAGACCCTGCTCACGCTCCAGCTGCCCTTCTGCGGCCCCAACACCATCCACAGCTACTTCTGYGACGTGCCGCCGGTCATCCGCCTGGCCTGCACCGACACCGCCCTCACCGAGGGGCTCATGGCCTCCAACAGTGGCCTCATATCCCTAGGCTGCTTCCTGGTGCTGGTGGCCTCCTACGCGCTCATCCTGGCCAAGGTGCGCGCCCGCCTCTCCCAGGGGCGCTGGAAAGCGCTGTCCACCTGTGCCTCGCACGTGATGGTCGTCACCTTGTTCTTCGTGCCCTGCATCTTCACCTACCTGCGGCCCCCCGGGACTTTGCCCGCTGACAAGTATGTCTGTGTCATCTACACCGTCCTTTCACCTGTGATGAACCCCCTCATCTACACCCTGAGGAGCAACGAGGTGAAGGAATCCTTGTGGAGACTCTGCAAGCGCTGCAGGGCTTTCTGAGACAAGCTGGGTTGGCAGCAGCCCGGACTTAAACCTGGAGTAACACCCAGAGTTACACCCTGGAGTAACATCCAGAGTTACACCTGGACTTATACCCCGAGTAACAACTAGAATTACACCTGGAGTTATACCCAAACTTACACCTGGAGTTGCATTCCTACTCTGCTCCTACACACTTAGTGGCCTAAGCCTACAGACTTCAAATTATAKATAGATATATTTGTATATACAYGTAGYTGTTAATATTAAAAATATTAAAAATCCATGCTGAAACCCCCAAACTTTTCTAAAYGCTTCYRCTYRTGTGGGATYGMAATTTTCAAATAAATAAATTAATCCAAGATGAGGCTTGTCTCCCTTTCTGATGTGGTTTTCCTGTGGTGTGACAGCAGATGGCAGAGGTGCATGCACCAAATGGCCCCAAATTCACCCACTGACACCAGAAGGTAGAAATGGTGTAGATTTTGCTTGTAGGATTTTCATTAGATGTATAAAAACATTTTTAGTCATAATTTTCCCACAGAAGCAAATAATTAAAATCCTACAAGTGACAATATGCAGAGGAAGGAGAGGGAGTGGAGAGGGACTTTGGACAAGGRCCTGGARTGACAAGACAAGGGGGAATGGCTTYACACCRACACAGGGTGGGTTTAGATGGGACACTGGGAATTAATTCCTCCCTATTATGGTCTGGCACAGAGAAGCTGTGGCTGCCCCATCCCTGGAAGTGCTCCAGGACAAATCAGAGCAACCTGGGCTAGTGGAAGTTACARGGGGTTGGAATGGGATTGTCTACAAGGTCCCTTCCAACCCCATCATTCCTTGATTCTTTAAAGAATTCACCCAAACCAGCATTCTGCCTGAGGAATTTAGGGAAGAAGACTAAGGAAAAGGCAATAGGATTTTTTCCATTATGTGGTTTTAATAACCAACATTTCTGCCTCACGGTAATTAAGTTCTAGTTTTATCCTTTGTGAGGGCAGCACCACCAAATTCATCAGG